CTCTCTGGCTTCACGTATTGCCTTTTCAGTGGTTTCTGGCAGGAATTCTAATTCTTAGCAACGTATTGATAGTCTGACCTCTCAGGAATTCCTTTGAAATATATGTGATTGTCTTTGTGACTCCATACCACTTGCATCTTGCATATCTGCAAAACCTGTTTCATATGGATGATGTCAAGGTCTATCTTGGACTTAAGCAGTAGCTGGGCCCCCTTGGACCATGGTTGTACTAGCTTCTTTGTACCTGTATGACTGTACATAGGGAAATACTTTTCTGGGAAGCCCTGGGTTATCAAGGCACCCAGCTGCTTTCTTTTCAAAGCAAAAATTTTCAAAGGAATTTACCCTTTGAGTCTGTGATGGGAGGGTCGGGCTTATTTCTGAGATGCTCTCAAGCCATCCTTCCAATTGCTCTGATACGAAGTATTTGGCTTCTTTTTAATAGTATTAATCTCTTCAGAGGTGGCACATGCCTGTAGTCCCAGCTCTTGGGAGGCTGTAAACAGGAGGATCACGATGAGTTCAATCTAGTAGTGAGACCCTGAACACTCTGCAGACCCTCCCCCCAAAACAAAACAAAACAAAATAACACCCTAATCTGTTCATCAGTGATACTTCTGTTGGTCCCAACTTTATACGTGATTCTTTTTTGGCCTAATTGCAAGTTTTCAAATCTTTCTGCTCTCCATTTTGCTCCAGATTCTCATTGAAAATTTGGTTAAAAGCAGCCAGCAATGCCCATGTTACCACCTGAATGCTGTGCAGCTTTGAAACCTCCTCTGCCAGATTTATTAGTGTGTCACCTTTAAATTCATCTGCACATACAGTCTCAGGACATAGACAAAATATAGAGTTTTTTTTTTTTTTTCCCCGAAAGTAACGTGAGTATGCTCTAGTATAGCTCTTCAAAGAGTCTTCATTTCTTTTGAAATCTCATGAGCACATTCTTTACTATCTACATTCTTATCAACATTTTGACCTCCTATACATATACCAGAACCATCATTAACCTCTGCTTATAATATTTTAGAGATTCTCTATCCAGTTTCTCTATACTTTTCCAAATTATTTCCTCCAAATGGAATCTAAAAGCTTAAGTGACCTTCCTAACTCAGTCTTCCAAGTGCTGGAACTACAAGTACATGCCACAATACTAATAATACTAGGCTAATAAAATTATTTGTCCCTGGCCATGGTGGCATATGCCTGTAATCCCAGTACTTGGGAGGCTGAGGAGGAGGAACACTATGAGTTCAAGTCCAGCCTGAACTACATAGTGAGTTCAAGGCCAGCCTGGATTACAGAACAATACCTTGTCTGAGAAAGAGAAACACATAAACACCCCAAAACCCAAGACATTTTTCTACCTCAGTTAGCTCAGTATATTTTCACATTGACTTAACAGTGGGGGAAAAGGCGGGAACAGCTTGAATATGTAGCACTGGCCTAACAACAGCATTATGGATAGTTGAATTGTGGCAATTAGCTTTCAGTACTTCTCAGAGATCACAGCTTTGATTTTCTCTTTAAAGCCTATAGGGTCCTGGGGAGAAGAATGGGAGTAGGAAAACGTATTGCTGGAACAGTATGAAGACCTACACTGTGAGAACTATAGCTTACAAGCAATTTTATTTCTCATAGTGATGCTTCAGGGTTATTTGATGATTATTTATTTTATTTTTGCACTACTGGGAATTGAACTCATAACCTCACATATTCCAGACAAATTCTGGGACTACATCACCTTTCTGACGAAATCCCTGAACTCATGCATTAAAGACCTAAATGTAAGATTTCTAACTATGAGACTACATAGAAGAAACACTTCAAGACATTAGTATGGACAAAGATTTATATTTATTTATTTATTTATTTATTTATTTATTTATTTATTTATTGTGTTTAGTACAAGGTCCACAGTGTCTCACTACACAGATCAGACTTGTAGTGTGTGGGAGGCTCAATAACTCCAGGCCTCCAATCCTATTGCAAGTGGGTTTCCGGGTTCCTCTTCCCCTACCTCTGCTGAGCTAAGTTCCTAGTTCTTTTTATCCCACCTATTTCCCATAAGTCTCCTGCTATGCCCCAGAGGTTGGACTTCCTGTCATAGCCTGGTTGCCTAGTTACTCGCATCTTTTACCCACCGACGTCATTTCCCTATGCCTCCACTATATATACCCAGCACCTCCCCTGAATAAACGCGACTTGACCAGAATCCTGTCTTGTCTTCATTTCTCGTGTCTCCTGTCCTTTGTCCCCTCTTCAATTCCCCGCTCCTCTCCCAGGTGATCTTTTTTGACTGACCCACTGGCTCGGGACAGTAGTGATCCTCCTGTTTTCAGCCTCCCAAGTGCTGGGATTACAGGCATTCAACACCACACCCAGTCTCAATCTCTATCTCAGTGTGCCCTCGGGCTGGGGCTGGCAGGGCACGCTGGGCATTGAACCTTGGTTGCTGTGTGTACCTAAGCAGGCACTTTAGTCTGCTGAGCTATCTGGCCAGCCCAACAAACGTTTTCTAGACATGATGCAAAATGCACAGGCAATAACATTAGAAATAGACAAGTGAGATTATTACAAACCAAGAAGCTTCTGCAAAGCAAAGGAAACAAACAGCAGAGTGAAGAGGCAACCATCAGAATGGGAGAAAACACCTGTAAGCTATTCATATGACAAAATGTTAAAATCCAGCATATATAAGAAACTCAAATAATTTGACAGCAGAAAACTAAATTATCTAATTTTTAAAAAACAGGCAAATGATCTGAATAAATGGCTCTCCAAAGAAGACACAAGAATGGCCAAAAAGTACATTAAAAAACACTTAATATCACTAATAATTAGGGAAATGAAAATTAAAATCACAGTGAGAGATCATCTCATCCAATCAGGATGGCTATTATCAAAAAGATAACAAATGCTAGTGAGGTTACAGAGAAAGAGAAACTCTTGGACACCATTGGTAGATACATAAATTAATACATTCATAGTGGAAAATAGTACAGGGATTCTGCGTAAAACTAAGTCTAGAACCATGTGTGATCCAGCTATGCGTAAGTACAAAGGGATTTATTATATTAAAAAGACAGCCACACTCACATGGTGATTGCAGCACTATCCACAATGGCCAAAGAATGGACTCAGTTAAGGCGTCTATCACTAGATAAATGAGTTATATGCATGTTACAGAATCTAATTCAGCCCTGTCATTTGTATCAAAGTAGTTGGAACTGTCAGTTATAAAAGACATATAATAGCACATGTTTTCACCCATTTGTGGTAACTGTAAAGTAGATCTCAAAAGACAGAGTGGAATACTGGTCACCAGAGATTAAGAAGGGTAAGGAGATGGAAAGAGTTTAGATAAAAGAAACTAAACACAGAAGGAATAAGTTCTGTGTTTGACAGCATACTAATGTGACCGTTGTCCATACTAATCTAGGATGTATTTCAAAATAACTATAAGAGTATGGGGCTTCATATATATATATATGATTCACATATATATGATCAATATTCAGAGATGGAAATTCTACTTATCTTGATTTAATATTTTTACATTTATACATGTATGGAATTAATGTTTTGAAATTCATAAATATGTACAAATAGGTCTCAAAAAAAGTCACTGAACACAGAGAACTTGAGATAATTGTCCATTATGGTGGGGACCACAAAACTATCCTACAGTTAATCTTAATTTTGAATTTTTGAGACAAGATCTCACTGTGTAGTTCAGGCTGATCGTATGTGTGTGTGTATGTGTGTGTTACCAGGGATTGAACTCAGGACTTTGCGCTTGCCAGGCAAGCACAGTTCAGGCTGACCTTGAGCCTAGGATGTAGCCCAGGCTAGCCTTGAACTCATGACAACACTCTTGCCTCAGCCTCCTGACTGCTGGGATTACGTGTGTGTGCCACCCTGCCTGGCCTCCCAGTAGTTCTCAGGAGGGTTTTGTTGGCCTCCCTTGTTTCAGTGCTCACCCACCTCTGCTCCATTTGCTGTGCACTGGCTGGCCAGACCTGACCCGAAACATCATTCCAGCATTGGGAGATCCTTGCCAGTCTGCTGCAGCTGCACAGACTGGCAACGAGTGGAGCTAAGTGGGGTGGAATGGATCGGAGCAGGTGAAGGCAGCAGGACCTTTCCCCACCCAACACACACATACTCTGACAGGTAAGTTTATTGTTTTTTTTTTTTTTTTACCTTTTTTAAAATTAGCACATATCAGCCATACATATTGGTCACATTCATTACAGGCTTTATACCTGTACATAATATAACTTAATTCTCCCCCTCTACCCCCCTGCTCAACCCTTCTTCCACTCCCCTTTTACAAAAGCTTTTTTTTTTTCATTTTTCCTTCCATTCACTTTTTTTTCCCCTTTTCTCTTCCTTCTCTTACCCCTCTGTCTTCTTTGTTCCACTTCCCAATATTTATTTCCCATTTGATTCCTTATTTACCCTTTTGGTTTCTGACATAAGAGAAGCAATGTGATATTTAAACTTGTGTGTTCCAATTACTTCACTTAAGATTATGGTCTCAAGGTGCATCCACTTCCCTACAAAGAACTCAAGCTTATCCCTTTAAAAGGGAAATTGAAGGGCCAGCAAGATAGCTCAGTGGACTAAGCTCCTGCTTAGGCAAGCTCAGGGACTGGGTTCGATCCCTGGCACCTCATGCTGTGCCTGTCCCGCTCCTTGGGCACACTGAGCTGGCCACCAAGTCTGGGCATGGTGGTGCACACCTGTAATCCTAATGCTGGGGAGGCTGAAAATAGGAGGATCACTATGAGTCCAGGTTGCATAGTGAGACCCTGTAAAAACCAAATACATAAAAATAAAATAAAATGGAAATTTAAAGACTACATACTTGAATGACAAAAGAAGAATGTTAACAATTCATCCTCAGGGTATGAGAAGAAATTAGGAGGAAGAGACATTAGTGTGTACAGATGTAGAAGGAATCTTGGTGCCAGTATAGTGGAAGTCTACAGAGATCAGCCCGAGTGCCCAATTAAAGTTAGATAGCATGGATTTGTCACTAGACATTAAACCCAGATTTCAGGTTTTCAGTGGATTCAGCAAGAGAGAAGAAAGGACATTTTACTATAGCTATCCCAGGTCTGGGGAAGGGCTTAAGGGTGGGGATAAATCAGGCTAACTTTGGTTCAGAATACAAAGTGGTGGCTGTTGGACTAAGGATTGATTAGGCCAGGGATGGTGATGCACAAACTTGTAATCCCAGCACTCTGGGAAGCTGAGGCAGGAAGATTTCAAGTTCTAGCATAGATCAGGAAACATACTGACATAGTAAGACCTGTTTCAAAATGAAAAATGAAAAAAAAAAAAAAGGGGGGGGAAAGCTTGGGGTTGTCAATTGCTCCCATCGTGAAAGCTCTGGGTTCAATCTCTAGTACTGGCAAAACAAACAAAAACAGAGAGAGAGAAGAGAAGGAAAAAAAAAGAACGGACTGGATCAGAGGACTAACAAAGGAATTTTAGCAGAAGGAGTGGAGCACAGGTGATAAGAGACAAGTCCTGTGGAGGTTCAGGGCACCCGGTTGGCTGGAGACACACAGCCACCATCACTGTGCTACTGCAGGTTGGGTTCTCCAGGAGGCAGGTGCTGAGCAGGAGTCTCGCAACACAGCGAGAGGAAGATGGGAGGAAGGAGGACAGGGCAGGAGGAACCCACAGTCCATGCCGCAGATCTGCACACTCTGCCTCCTCAGCTAGGAGCTCCGGGACAGTGATGTCCTGTGGGAGGTGGAAAAGGCTGAGCCCGGGAGCTTCCATCTTGTTTGGTCCTTGGCTTGTGGTGCGACCTGACTTGATCAGATGCGATTGGAGGAGAATCCCCATCATCCACTGCACACGCTGGAACGATGGCAAGGACCTATGAGGCTTAAATTGCTCCTGGCAGCCACCCAAGACATGAAGGGAAAGCTTTCAGATCAAATTCGCCAAGTGGGGAAAGAGAAAGAATCTTAGGCCTTGAATCCTTAATGGTATTTTGCAGCTGCTTGATCATGCACCACTGAATTTTGATCATCCCTTATCAGTTCCTGTTATGTAAAATAAATGTCCTTATCAGTTAGGGTAGGCTCAATGATGATTTTAGATTCCTGTTGACAAAGCATTGTAACTGAGAAGGGTAGTAAGGGAGTTAAGGCAGGGGAAAAGTGTGCATGCGTATGTGTGTGTGTGTGTGCGTGTGTGTGTGTGTGTGTGTGTGTGTGTGTGTAGAGGAGGCTAGGAAACACTGAAGTCTTGTAAGGGGTTGGGATGTTGAACTTGGGCTTTGGGCTCAGGATGTTTTAGATTCAAATTCTAGTCCTACCGTTTAATAATTGTATCCCCTCTGACAACTTCATCTTTCTGGATAATGATGTCTTCATCTGCAAAAGGGTGGCTGGGAAGGTTGGATAAAATAATACACATTAAAGCTCAATAATGATTACTTTAAAATTAAATCAGGGGGTGGGGGTATGGCTCAGTGATCAGTGACTGAGTCAGTACTTCACAGTATGTAAGACCCTGGGTTCAATCCCCAGCACCTCTCTACCCCCTCAAATCAGATGAATGTAGATCGTTTCTCAACTAAAATCATACTGTTAACTAAACCTCTAAACTAGTATAACTAGGAAAAAGTTTAAAAGGCTGGGAAAGAAGCGCTGAAATGCTGTGCTTGTAGGAAATGAGAAAGAGAGTGAATTTATTATGGATAATTTGATTTTTGTCTCTCTTGTCTGTGGACCAGACATTAGGAAACAGTCCCTCAGAGCGGCTTGAGCTTGGAGAGATGGAGGAGGAGCTGACTGACCCCTTCCTGGGAGTGTGGGAGAGGGTGGAACAGAGGCACAGGGGTAGAGCTAAATGCAGGAAAGAATAGGACACAGTGGTAGAAGTGGGGTGCAGGGTTCTACTGAGGGGAGGTTGTGGGCAGAGTGATAAACGAGGAATGGGAGTTTGGGAGATGTTACAGACCTGCCACACGCAGTTCCAAAGTATTTCAAAAGGACAGCCAGGAGTCCGGCTCAGGTGCTCTTAGAAGCCACCCACCTGATTTCAGAGACCAGCCACATCTCCCATGTGCCAGCAGTGTGTTCAGCCAGGGCTCGACTCCTGGGACCTCAAGGGAGCAGGACGGTGGGACCAGCCACCAGGGAGGAAAGGCTTGCTCTCCTGTCCCCCTCCTGGGGCCTGCTGCTCACGTGCTGCCAGGTCACCAGCAGTTTGTAATCATGTTTGTGTCCACTGTGGCAAGTTCCCCAGGGAGGTACGGGAAATTCTGGAGACAATGGTGCTGCCAGCTGTGTGTGTCCAAAGGTCATGTCTCAGTGCGGCTTGGGGTCAGAGAAGTAGGGAGAAGAATCGGTGGATACAGAGTGTCAGCTTGGTAGCCCTTGCCAAGATCAAAATGTTCCCCATTGCTGCTAGCAGCTGAGATCTTGGAACCTGGAATCGCACAGTCCCAGCTCCAGCAGGGCTTCTGGCAACAGCCCCAGTGTCTTCAGCTACAGGCACCACCGCTGCGGATGCCAAGAAAAGCAAACACAGCCCCCCCCCCCATCTCCTGTTACACCAACTGGAGCACAGGAGCTGCCCGTGGGGACGCTCTCGCGCTCTCCGTCTCCCGCCATCCTTCCCCCTTCTGAATCAAACTCACAGACCACGCACTTGCAATACCGTTTGCAGGTGTGGCTGGGATTCTCTTTTGAGCAAATGCCCTACAGAAGGCTGGGCTGCAATGGTGGACCAGGTTAGAAAAGGAAGTATGTTCCTGATGTTTCAGACTGAGGAAGAGAGGGGGAGAACTCTGGGAAAACAGAGATTTCTTCCTGCCAGGGGAACGAGTTCGTTTCAGTGACCCAGGCTGGTATCATTTCCAGACAGCCTTCGGGGAACGACTCCAATTCCCTTTTCCTAAGAGTGCGTGTAGGGGTGGAGCTGGTTCTGTAGCACTTAATGAAGTGATAAAGTGCAACTGTAAAGTCCTAGCTGTCTAAAATCAGCGACAAGACCGGACGTCCTTTTGGGAGAGGAGCTTTGCTCCACTTTGGGAGCAGAAAGATAGAATTCAGAATATCAAGAGTAACCGTAGCTACCAAAATAGGAAAATATTCATAATTCACCGGAGGAAAATGTGAGCCGCTGACGTCACACAAGCGCACGCGAGGTCTGAGAGCTGAGGAGTCTGAAGTTCCAGAAAACCAGCACGCTGGGGCTGTCAGTGACTCATGTCTTGAGATATTTTCAGAGCTTCAAGTTTAGTCCTATTTTTACTAAGGATGTTAGATTAAGACTAATCAGCAAATATTGGTTATAGTTAAGGTGTGAGGTTTTGGGTTTCCTACGAATTATTTCTAAAACTATACTCCAGGAGTCTTGGCTGCCCTTTCTGCCTCCTGTCTTTCCCTTCTTCTAATTTAGCCTTCATGCCTCATTATACCAGCCCACACTGAATTCTTTCTTTCTGTGTTTTTATGCCTTTTTGAGTCAAGGTACCACTATACAGTTCAGGTTGGCCTTGAACTCACTTTGTAGCCCAGGGTAGCCTCAAACTCACAGAGATTATCCTGCCTCAGCTTCCTTACTGCTGGGATTAGTCATGTGCCACCGTGCCCAGCAGTACACTGAATGCTTTATAATTAGGACAATTATCAAATATATAATATACAGAGACTATCCCAAAAGGCTGCAGTTATGTGTGTTTTTCCACTTTAACAATTACCAATATTTTATGAGTCATCTTCATTTTTCTTCCTTACCAATATTTTATGAGTCATCTTCATTTTTCTTCCTTATTTTAAGGAAAATAGATATGTCTTTTTCACTTTTTTTTTTTAATGTATTGGTACAGGGTCTCGCTATACAGCTCAGACTCATAGTGATACTCCTGTTTCAGCCTCCCCAGTGTTGGGATTACAGGTGTGCACCACCATGCCCTGTCTTGCTGGCTGGCTTTGCCTGCCCAGGCAGCGCTGGCACAGCATGTGGTACCAGGGATCGAACCTAGGTCCTTGCGCTTGCCTAGGCAGGTGCTTGGACCACTGAGCTATCTCTGAAGCCCTCTTTTTTTTTTTTTTTTTTCATTTATTTATTGTGTGTGTGTGGCCAGCTCAGCCCAGGGATCGAACCGCAGTCCCTGTGCTTTGCCAAGCTTGTTCCAAGTAGGTGCTTTAGACCACTGAGCCATCTCACCAGCCCCCTCTGAAGCCCTCTTTTTTCACTTTTGAACATAATTTCTACTCTTTTACCTCTGTTAAAGCACCATGTCTCTTTGATTTTAAATTTGTATTGTGCAAATAAAAACAATACTGAAAGGGCACAGGTACACTTAATGTAAAATGAACAAAACCCAAAACAGTCATGAACCTGCCCTCCAGGTTAAGAAATTGAATATACATCAATTTCCACACAATCAGTTTGACTTGCGGGCACTACCATAATGGTGGAATAGCATGAATCTTGGCTCTATCCCTCAGAGAGAACCTGTGGGAAACTGCTGATGTGAGGACATATCTCCTGTTGCTATGGTCTCAGGAACACAGGACTCTCCCACTTGTCACAGCCACCCTAATAATTAGATTCCACTATCTCTGGACTTCTCCCCTTCAGTCTGTACAAATCCTGATGGGGGCATCTGATTAGTCAAAAGTGGATCACCTACCAGTGCCCTGGCTGCGCACAGGCTCGGAGGGGCCAGTGGCTCCCCTGTTGATTTTGATTAAGGGAGGACAGGCTCTGCCTCTGTTGACCCTTCAATTTCCTTAGACATGAAGGGGGTTCAGGTGGTAAGCGTAAAGTGCTAGAACTCCACGGCATTGGATACGCAGCTCCAGCTCCGGCCAGTCTTCAGACTCTCACTGCCATGCCTAGCATCCTACTTCTTAACCGGACTTGCTTGTCTCAGATCCAGCACGCTCATCTCTGAGCCTGATGTCCTCCCCAAATCCTATACCTCTCAATGGCTTTATGTAGAGAATGGCATTGCTACACCCTAGTCACTTTGACTGGAAACCTGGAAGCCATCCTGGGGTTCTTTAGTAGCTTTTGTGGTAGATTGGCAACTGGTGGGCAACTTGTAACACCCAGCTGAACTGAATCAACATGGTGCTGGGCGAGGGAGGCCTACCTGAGGACTGTTGCCAGCAGCATCAAAAGGAGAACTGGTGAGGAGGAGGTGGTGCTGTTGGTTCTCCTGGCGGAGCTTGCTATGTTGGTTTTTCTGATATAAAGTCAGCAGCTCTCACTGGGGGAGGAGCTTGGGATCTTGTTGCTGAGAATGGTTGCAGTTCACTTTCAAGGAGCTCTGGTCCTTACTTTGAGCATCGCTTTCTGGCTCCACTGCAGATCCCCCATTCCGCTGGCACAGACTTTCTAGCTTCTGTCACTGACCTTGGGGCTTTCCCAGCACAGATCCTTGAAACAGACTTAGACGGGGCATTGCGATGGGCTCCAAGTCTTCAGCTGAACTCACGCGGGACATTGCTGTAGGATCCAGGCCCTCAGTTGGAGTCTTTGAGTCTTTAGTGTGTGGGGAGATCTCCTGCACTTCTTTGTACTTGACTCTTTGGGTGACTACTGTAAAATAATCCTATAAATTATGTGCCCTGTATCAAATTGTCTCCCTGTAAACCCTGACTGCAACATCTTTCATACTCAGTATTGACATCTTTTGAATGAATCTCAAGCCCGCTTCATTTCCAGCTCTACTTTCTTTGCTTAATTCAGGTCCTCCTCATCTTTCACACATGGTAGCTGTTATGGCTTGTGTGTAATTGTCTCCCCAAAGCCTCATGTAGTCATGGGGAAGACTTCTAGAGGTTGTTATTAATTCATGATCCAGTGCTGGGATTATGCATGTGAGTGCTATGCCCAGCCTGGGGCAGACCATGCAACATAAGGGAGACAGACTTGCTCTCTGCAACCATTGTTGCTGCTACTCCTCCCTTTGCTCTTTGCTGTTTTCTGCCACCATGAACTGCTGCCATCTGCCATGTGCCAGTCTGCATTGGAGCCAGTTGAGTATGGACTGAAACCTTCACAGACTGTGAGCTAAATAAACCTTTCCATCCTTAATTATGGGTGTTGGATATTTTGTCCCAGCAATGAATGAAGAGTAAGACACTGGCCTTGTCTTAGTTTGGATTCCCCAAAATCGGACACTAAGAAGAATATTTGAAGGTAAATTATTTGAAGTGCAAAGTACGCAAGGATAGTGTTTTTCAATGAAGAACACATGGAGAAGCAAGAGGAGGAAGGGAAACAGTCAAAAGGTCTGACGTCAAGCTGGCCACCACTGTGCACAGCCGAAGCTTCCTCCCACTTGCAGCATTCTGGATGCCCCAGCCCACAGTCAGACACTAGCCTCCTCCTCACTGGCTGAGGCCATTGCTGTGGTATTAATTCCTTGACAGTTCAAGCCTGCCACAGGCAATGAAATGGGCTTCAGTAGCAAGAGAAAGCTTGCAAGTAGTGAAATACAGCTGCTGGCAGCTGGAGGACTGGTGTGTGGCCGAAAAGTCCTGGGGATAGGGGCTGGTAGTATGTGGTGCAGGCTGTGTATCTTTCTTGCATATGTTGTACTTTTTCTACACACTCAATGTGTTTTCCAGCCACTGTGATATTTCTAACCTTGAAATCTGCTTATGTAACAGTACAGTGGAAATTCCTGTTAGGCTCTTCCTTAGCTTTCTGTATAAGACCCAAATAATTCAGCAAGGCCTTTCTTTCATTATTTGTCTCTTACTTCTTTTATTTATTTTGGTTTGGTTCTTTCCAGACAGGGTCTCACTATGTAATCATAATGTATCCTTGAACCCACTATATAGCCCAGGCTTACCTCAGAATTGTGGCAATCCTCCTGCCTCAGCTTTCTGAGTGCTGTGATTATAGGGGTGTGCTACCACATCCCAATTCTTGCATATTTCTTTAGACTGATTTCTTACTGCCTCTTCTGTTTCTCGCTTCAGAGAAACTACATTCCATTCTTATCAAAGTGCCTGCAGTTCCCAGAATATGTCCCAGTCTTTCATGGTTCTTTCTGCACCTCCACATGGTTGGTTCATCCCTGTAATCCCTCTCCCTGGTCCTCTTCGGGTTGGGGATCACCTACCATAGTTCAATAACAGCAGAGAGACGA